ATCGATCGAAGCTGGCTTCTCCCACGCGGCATCAAACGCAATTACGCGCGCAAAATGCTCTCTTTAGTCGCGGCGCGGCAGCCTCAAATCGAGTTTCGTTGAAGGCATGAGAAGAGTACAGGCGTTTTATTTTTATTTCCGTCTGGCGAACACTAAATGAAAATGGGTCGAGGCGTCTGCGCTCATTTGCGCGCATCCTCCTTTTATTTCGTTTCCGATGCGTGTTGCGCCTTCCTATGTACGCACTAAAGACTCGAAAATGTCCTACCAAAAACGCACGATCATTGCTCGTTCTTCCAAATGAAGAATATTGTCAAAGCTCGAGGATTCAAAAAACAAAATCAATTATTAGAAGCAAATATTAGATTATGAGTCGAAATGTACTTCTTTCGATTTTTAAAAACATATTTATGCTTAACACTGTCTCTGTGTATCTTTTTAAAAAAATAATAAATTAAAATCTTTAGTAAAAGTTAACGTCGCGAGATCATAAATTGATAAAATATGGTAGAGTTAAAGAAGATCAAATGTTTAAAAATTAACATTGATTCCAACAACGCATAATTTCAATTTAAAGCATGAAGAAAAAATTTCAAAAAAAAAAGTTGAATGTGTACAGCTTAAAAAATAATGATCAAAACAATTTTAATGCAAATTTATTCAAGAAGGGCAAATAGAACAATTTATTCTTCTCTTCTTTAAAACTCGTATTAACGTGAGAATTTGGAAGATCAATCGTGCAATCACATCTTTCTCCATTACAGTGAATAGCAAGCAAAAAGTTCGGAGTAAACGAGCATTCGTATTTGGAGACTGTGGGCCCGTTAATACCAAAGAGCTAACCGCCGCCATCGCTGTTGCTCGGAAACTTCTCCCTCAGTGGGCCAGGGCTTCGTGCAAAATTCGCTGGTCCGGGTTTGGCCTTCATACCAAGAAAGAAGGGACAGGACCGGCAACGAAGGTAAGCGAGATGAAGATAGAAAGGGCGAACAAAACGGGAGGCGGGAGAAGAGGGACGGCGCAAAAAGCCAGGACCGAAGAGAGCGGGAAAGAGGGAAGGCGCAAGAGAAATGCGTGGGAATTGAACCATGTGGTCGGCCGACTGGTTCGCGAAATATCACGTTGCGAAAGTGCGCACACATACATACGCAATACGTATACGAATTATATGCGGAGGCGGCGCGAGTGAAACCGGTGCTCGTATATACTATCTTTCGAGGTCACGAGGAATTTCAGAAAGAATCGCGCGAGATAATTAGAGTGCCTTTCATGGAATAAAATCGTTTGAGATAACGAGCTGCCGGACGAGATGTCCGATGGTGCCTCGGACAAAGCTTCGAAATTATAACCAACATTTTATATTTTTTAATTGTAATATTTAAATATAAAAATCATTGAAAGCACGCGCGCAACCAAAGTATGTTAAATATGTTCATGTAAATTTCTCAATTTTAAAGTTATTCCACAAAAATCAGTTTTTAAAATTTTAAATATCCAAAAAAAAAGTTAAGAAAAACCATGTTTTCGCGTAATGTACGATAAATGGCAAGTCAATATGAGTCGCAATGTGCGACACGTGCTCGACTACGCAGCGCGGAGCAACTTGCGTTTACGATCAACGCAAGATCAGCTGTTAGTTCACACCGTCAATTACGAGTCACGCGACTCTCGAGGTTCTTGACTGACACACATGCGCATTGTGTGCCTACCTTTAATCGTCTCTCAAGGCATCGCGACGTTTGGCGCCTCGTCTCGTCTTGCCTCGCACAGTCTACATTCCCTGCTAAATACTCGATTAACTCTTGACCTCCGCGCGATCGCGTTGTCCGAGCGTAGCGTTGCGCAATGTTTAGTCAGTGTTATTTTTGAACGTACCTCGAAATTTTATTAGCGTGCCATATTTTCACGTCTGTTCTTTGTTTTTTCAATCTCTTCAACTTCTAACATTTATTTAACATTATAAGATTTTAAATTTCAACATTCTCTTTATAAATACGACAAATTCTTTTATGATCAATTCTAAATTAGATTTTAACACGTTTCTTCAAATTTTTGAACATTAATTGCTGAAAAGGTTTTCTTTAGAATTATAATATAAAATTTATTGTTTTTCTTAATATTTTCAACTAGAAAAAATTAGTCTAAATTTATTCAAAGAATCCATGAATAAAAAATAATGCGATGAATTTATGATATCCTACGTATATTTATCAATGTCGTTGAGAAAAGCAATTTTGTTATCGAGTTAGAATAGATTTGTGTCACGAAATGTTATAGTCTGTTCCCACGTGTAATCTTACACAAGAATTGAACAAAACTGTAAAAACAGGCTCACGTAAAGATTTATGAAAGTCCACATTCAAACCTAACAGCGCTAACTGTGATTTCCACGCCCATTTGACTCCGAATTATTTTTCATATAAATTATTTTTAGATTTATTAATAAAAATTCCAGTAAAAAAATATATAAATAATATCTATGATAAAAAAGCAAGAAAAGCAAGGAAATATTAATATATATGCTATTTTAATAAGCTGTAAAATTACGTTTTAAAAGATTGAAAATACTTCAGTGAGTGACGAAATGACATATTAAAAATCAATCGCATTACGCTAAAGATAAGTCATAAATATATATATATCGTATAAATTATTTCATCATGCGATCGAATATGGTTCGCATCAGCTGATATTCGGGAATGACATCAGTGTCCCAATGACACAAAACTAAACGGAGGTTGTCACACGGTGTAGAGCTAATGACTAAAGTCCGGGCGTGACTAAGCGAGCTAGTCGAGCCGATTGTGCGGGGATTTAGTTTTACGGCGTGGGATCGGATGCCGACTTTCACATGCTAAAATTAGCCGAAGCCGAAGCGCGCGGCGATTCATAAAAGCTACCGCCGAAGGCTTGCGTAACGTCGCGACGCGCAAACGCGAGGGACGATTGAGCTTTATTGACGAATTCACCTTGCCAAAGAGAGGTAGGTCGTAGTTTCCGGTCCACGTGTCAGCCTGATCCGGCCCGGCGTCGTGCGCCCTAATGTAATAAAACTTCCGAGCGGATGGTACCACCACTTCAACTCGCCGTTCTGAAGCGCGATCTGTTTTCTTAAATTAACGGTAGAAAAACCATTTTTAAATACGTACCAACATTCCTTATTTGGCGAATGCAAAGAAAGTTTTTTATTTTACTGCACTGTATACGTGCAAAATTAAGCGAAAAAATAAAAGATGGCTCATTTATGTATTTAACGAGCATCATTGCATGCTAATGCAGTACTTTTGAATTGTATGACCAAATAAGATCGGTTTTCTATGTTTTCGCTATATCGAAGAAAAGGTCTTCCGTTTAAGGAAAGTAAATTATGCAATTAAAGTATTTGGCAAGGCAATAAGTCATGCAGATCCCATACAGTCGGATTTTCACGGCATTATTATTTCGTTATCATCGTTACTTTTCTTGTATGGTTTTGTGTAAAAATCTAATACTGCTAAACAAAATCAAAAGTACTTAATCCTTAAATACATATTATTTAGGAATTGTTCTATTTAGTATTCTATTTTCATTATTGTTGGAAAATAGACAACGTATTCATAATTAAATGCATTTAAGGATTAACAATAATGGAAATTCAGGGTTATTACGAAGAAGTAAACGATTTTATCTACCGTATTTCGATAGTCGAAGTTACGACTTCATTCAGGGAGAGTATTGATATAACTTGTGGAAAACGATATATTATTCCTAATGACTCCATTTGGGCCACATTAATAAACGTTCATATACTCGCAACGTCCCAACGATCCGAAATAGTTACATATCGATTGAGTGCGTCGCAGGAGTTCTCAAGTTTCAAATGCTCAAAGGAGTAGTCAAAATCGCAAGATGGTACCAGTGCAAAGACGTGACTCACTCTTGCAACTGCGGTACTATCTCGATTATCATTTTGCGCAGGAGTGCGGCATAAAAGAGATTTCGTGTATTACGCACGCCACATCTTGCACATAGACGAAATGAGAATTTTCCAAATGCATTAAAAAATATTTTGTGATTGGTAATGAAATACTGCTTGTACAATATAAGCAATCGTGCAATTAAGACTCGATCCAATCGATTATCCTCATGCAATAATTTTCGATTAGACTATTCACGCGGAGTCTCGCAAAAAATTAAATTCACATTTGATGCGTTGTGACTTTAATGAAAATATCTTATATCTTATAATTTTGTGATATTAAAAATTAATTTTTTTTAAATGTTTTTTTAGACATTTAGTCGAATATAATCTTCTCTCGAGAGGCATGCAATGATTGTGCATTCCTTTTAATGTATCCTTGGAAAGACGTGAACACGTAGCGATGAATGAATGATCGTTATTCGAACTCTCAATCGACTCTTCCTCCAGCACAGATAAACTTATTGGAGGAAGTGTTATTCAGTCTTTTACAGTGATTCATACCGAATGAGCAAGCCACTCAAGCTACGAAAGACGATGATGATGACAATTTTCGTATGGATACAATTCTCATTTCAACCAAAAACAAAAAATCTCATGATTGTACGATGTTAAGTATGCCTCACGTATGCTCATATTGGCACACTCAATTTCTCGTACCAAATCAATGCATCGTACGCACAGTATACAAAAGAAAAAACGCATTTTTAACCCTACACACAGAGTCGTGACATGTAAAAATTAAACATTTATTGATTTTTTAATTATTAAAAAATTTTAAACTTTGACAATTGTTTGACATACATTGTCGTGTTTAAAACAAATTTTGTTTCAATTATAATAATTAATCAAATTTAATTTAAAAAATATGTATACATAAATTTTACATATCTAATATTTTACTCATTCCAATTTATTTGATACATATTAACAAAGTACTTTTAATATTTTTATTGTAAATAATGAAATTTTCATTTAAAACAGGTGCAAAATTTGCACGACTCCGGTCGAAGGTCAATATAAAGCAACACATATGACTTACCTTAGACAGTTTCTCGCCCTCGTGATGCGGCAGCAATGTCCTCAATGATTGAAATCCAGCATTGATACTCTGCATACGACGTCTCTCGTTGCTGTTGGCGATTTCTCGCCGCATTCGCTTCTCCTGCTCCATGTGGCTGCGTGATGTGACACGACCAACGTTGCTGATACCGTTGCCGTTTGATAATACAACCCGTCGGCCAGTTCCGACGTTAGCCTTGGATTGCGGCGGTTGCTGCTGCTGTGGTTGCTGCTCTTGAGTATCAGCGACTTCGGCGACCGTCGCACTCGTGGTCACCGAGCCGTCGTCCACTGTCTCGACGCTTCTGCAAATTGATAAAATATATGAGTAAATTTTTTCTTTATAGTTTATAAATAATATTTTTGCTTTTATTAGTAAATTATACGATAGTAAAATCTTAATAATACAGCGCGACTATCAGAGATAGAGCCAGAGTCAAATCAGCACGAGCAAGAGAGAACACTAGTACACGTATGTGCGTGTTTGACACGTACGATGGGTGACGTTCGGGTAAATTTTCTGCCGCCGATGAGATCAGATGCAGAGTCCGTTGTTTGGAGTAACAAACGCAAGAGCTTTTAAGAAAATTGAAAATGAAGTGGTACATTTTTTTCCTTCTTTTCCTTTTTTATTCTTATCGAACGCGCGCGGCAAACAACAAAAACGATGACGACGACGATGATGACGGAACTTGTAAACGCTGGCACTGAAGCGAAACGTCATTGACGCTTCTCGCCGACAACTTCAAAGGCTCGCTCGCGTGTTTCCAATTGCTTACACGCTCGCACGGTTTAATAAATCACTTAAATTTGACATCATTGTTTTATTTTCAATGCTTTCCCTAAAACTGTACGATAGCCCTCATAGTTTTAACAATCTTTGCATGTTACCGATTAAACATCACGTATCAATAATTTTTAATGCTGCCTTATTGTTCAATTTAGAAATTCATTTTATATTGAAAGTGAATGTGATTCTCGTTTCTTGAATCTGTCAAAGTTATATACCCAACGTTATGTTTGATTATATGTCTCCGTCAACTCCGGGGAACTTATAAATGAGTTAGCGAAGTCTTTAATAATGCAATGCTCATTCTGAAACATGGATTGTAGACTAAGTTGTACATAAAGTCGGTAAAGGAAACGGTAAACAGCTGAGGAAATTAACAATAACGAGCGGCAGTAAGGAAAGAGAGCTGGAGTGAAGGAAAAGAAAGATCGAGATAGCGAGCAAACTGCTGCGAGGATGACTCAGCGAGGAAGACCATGACCTTAGAGTTTTTGTCTCGAAATACCACGTAGAACTTATTAAATTAAATGAATAAAATAAAGTGAAATAGAGTAAAAAAGCGATATACTATTGACGCAATATATAAATGTGCACTAAATAGCAAGCAACGTAAGAATGGTTATTGTTCTACGCGTGGAACGTATTAGCAAGAAACTACAAAAGTACGTAAAAATAGAAGCGTCATTAAATCTCACGATGTTTTATTGACCATTTGTCATTTATGCAAAAATGTCCTTCGACTGGAATGTTAACGGTTAGCATTCAAAAATGCCACGCAAATACCGCATAACCGCAACAAACATATAAAGGCATAAATGTACATCCATGCAATAGCGCTTGTCTCGATTGTTCAAAGATTTTACTATCGGTCGAAGTGAGTTGCATTATTCACAGTGTAATGTACATTCTATATTTGCTGTGTTGTAATATTTTTATAAAACACTGCGATAGCTCTAATCTCACAATGTTGCGACACGTCGTTATCATTAATGAAAGCTATACCGAGCACAAACTATACATTGATAACATAATCAAACATTTTCGTAGCTAATGCAACATAAAATCACTCATTTATATGGAATTTATTACTTTCGACATTACCGTCGTCAATATTTAGTCATAATTTTCATCGTAATACTTGCCGATAGTCACAAAATTACTGTGCATATAAAAATTTTCGAAATAAAAGAGAAATTATCAGTAAATTTATCTTTTCTTAATTCTAAAAATTTTTATTCGCACGCGGGACAATTTTATGACTATCGATAAGTATTGTTAGAAAATTCTTGCACATAAACGAGTGTGTATAAAGATGGAATATTATTTCGTAAAAACTAATACAACATTTATTTCTTTTTTTATTTTTAACAGTTTTAAAAAATTCCTGATAAATAAAACAAATAAAAATGTTCTTATACGATTTGTAAGTATTTAAGCATTTTAACAAGAGTTTTATGGACAAATAGTACTTGAATATTTTTAAATAATTCATATCGTTCGATAAATTTATATGGGTGCTGTAGAGAGACGCATGTAAAATTTCAACAATTTTTTAAATCTGATAAAAAATAAAAATAAAGCCATTTTCGTAAAACAAGTTAAAACGTAGCATGAATCTGGAATCCCAATTTGCCTCGAACCATTTTGGCTTGGACAAACTATATGTTTTATCTATCAGAAACGGTAGTCTATTAGAAATAAAACTGGAATCTCGTCAATAGTTTGAATTTCCACGAAATAATACGTCAGATCCACACACAGAGCGCACGAAGATTGAATCAAGTCGCGGTATTCATCGGCGATCATTCATAACGGCACGTGGTGGTCCACGGAATCAGAAATCCACGTGGCATACTCTCATCGAGTGGTTATATTAGATCAGCTGATACGTCGGCGGCTTGCTGGCTGGATGGTTGGCTGTCGTGACGTCAGCTCGTTCGTTCGCCGGATACCCACAGCGCGCTCGCCCAGATCAGTTGCAGCGAAGTAGGTCGGCGAAGTAGATAGAGCTCTACCTTCCTTTTCACCCTGAAATCCTGCCACCCGTGCGAGGGAGAAACGCGCGCGCTAAAGATAACCCTTTTGCCTATTTTACGTATCTCAGTTCGGTTTAGTCGTTTTTTGTATCTTACATCTGCGGTTTATTCCTCTATTTTGTATGTTAGTCTTTTTTGATTTCATGTTAAATAATAACATTTTTTACGTTTAAATAAACAATCTTTAAACTATTTTTGATGTATACGTATCAAGATTATTTTCTTAAAATTGAAAAACAAAAATTGCGCAAGATTAATTTTTCCTAATAACAGACTGTGTGCGACGATTGGTTAATTATATATGGCCTCGAGACATTCTATTATGCTGCATCTGCCGGCGAATAGGCTTTAGGGGATATTCGCTGATCGCGTGTCATTAGTTCTAATTATAAACCTACACGTTGACGTTGACAATACCAACGATAAATAAAAAAATTAGATAGAGGGAAAAATGAGAGCAACGATGAAATATCGGTGCACCTGAATCGCTTCTTCGAGTACAGGCGTACTTGAGAGGATTGTCATCGATGGGCGGAAAAAGCGTGTTGAGAAACGCTTTCGTGAGACACACACGGATACCGGCGCATCTCGCATCTGGTATACAGAGCGTTGGTATTAGTATGTGTTACTATATATGCGACTGTGTGTCCATCCGCGGCGATTCTCGGTCGACTCGCTCGCGTGAGTCACCAACAGCTGATGGCTGGCGCCACTCAGCTGGTTGTTGCCGGTGCCTTCGCATGAGCGTCGCTATCTACAGCCGTGTATCAGCTGCGAGTCACTAGAAAACCGTAGCCGGAAAATACGTGTCTCAGAAAGAATATTGTGAAAAACACAATCCACAACACATTCCCGGTGTTGCACGATTCTGAATCTTTAAGTTAGCCGTCCTGAATGACGATAAGGGCTATTAACTGCTCTTCGTAGCAAAGATAGATCGTTACGTTACTAAATTAATTTTCGTTAATGTATATTAACATAAAACGTTATATGATACTATATAATAATATTATTCGTGGTATTTGTATGATCATCGTATTCGAATTATTGCAGGTTATATTATTCGATTATGGCTAAATGTGAAATATGCAGATGTGATCGCAGCATATACATATTGAAAATTCCAGTGACGTATTTTGCATAATTTAAATGGACTGAATAATTAACTATAAATTAGATGGGGAAGAACATGTATTAAGCATTCCGTAACAGTGACACACGCAAGTATTGTAGAATAGACGACCTTCCATTTGCATATTCTACGAAAGCGCTTCTAAGAACATTACATAACGCGGCTTTACTGCATTTTACGATTTCTCCTTTTTTCCTTATAACACATGGCTACAAAAATAACTGGCGTCAGTCAACTGCTTGTTACTAACGATATCTGCGGCCGTCTATCAGCGAATGACTAACGGAGGACGGCGCGAAAACGGAGATAAAGATGCCGCGTGAATTGTTCATAAACAGTAAACGACCTTGTGATAATTTCATTTGTAAAGTTTCTTTCAGACTTCGGCGAGAATTTAGATTTTAAGCTCGTTTTATGCATTTCTGCTTAACAATAGCTTAGCAGATTTTCCTCGTTCCCCATTTTGCAATGTCCTCCGACTGTTTCACATTTATTTATGTAACTGTGAAAAACGAATACAAAATTAAATGTACTATGCAATGCTACTAATCTGTTACTGTAAAGATTATGCTTCTTTTGCTTGATATTTTTTAAAAGGCAAAAAGATCAGAAAAAAGATTCGACCGTTTTATACGCGTCAAAACTATTATATTTCAAGTTCGAAAAAAATCAGCGTCAAGTTCAGACATTATGCATGTCGCAACCTTAGATTTTAAAAAACGTAAACAATTACTGACTTTGCGAGCTAGCACCGAAATATCTTAACGCACCACTGGATGATTTATTTGTTTTTTTTTTTGTATAACTTGCGTCATAGTGGCAAAGTTTGCGTCGAGAGAACAGTTAATATCAGTCACCGTCGTATAAAATATCGCACAATCGTAATTAGCTGTCGTGTTTTATAAATGCCATGGAAAGGCAATCATCGATGAACTACTGAGAGGAGGAGAAGACCCGGAGAGCATCGGGCATCGGCGGAGCAACTTTAAGATAAATAATAACTTTATCACTTATTCACTATTTGTTGCGAGTTATATTAATAATCGATTCCCACGACACAAATATTTTCGACATGTATTTACGTTTCGGTCAACTATTTATTTCAAATATTTGAAGATTAGAATGTTTCCATAAAATTACGTACTGATTTTATTAAATACCTGCTTAGGTTTTAAAAAGTTTAATATGCGCAATAATTATTTTTAAAATATTAATTATTTTGTATGCTTATTTTTTATAATTTGTATATATTTTTGTATTTTGCAGATCAACATGTGAACTATAACTTTGTCGTTGCTTATCGTGTGTCAATGAGTCAAACTTATCTTTTTTCTTTTAATATCGGTG